TATTAATATCCACACAGCATAACCTTACCACGCCACCACACAGCAGCTGTCAGTTCCTCCGTCAAGCTATTCTGGTTCATGTGCTACGACGGTACTCTTTTCTCACTTTTTCGTCAAAAACACTATCCACCTTATCACTTCAGTTTGACCTCGTGTCGTCGCTACGCTATTTTCTTGGATCAGTCTGCATCAGTGCCAGCTCACCTATAGCCCTAATAGTCCTGTTTGGACATAAACCTATTTAGGCCGAAAATATTCACTTCTGCACTTCAATGAAAAGGATGCACTATAGTGCAAGTCTTCATCAATACAGAAAGCATAGATCCAATCCTATTGCACATTATCACCCAAAATGCTTGCAGGACCATATGAAACGTCATGGGCGCCATGTTATGAACAGCGGCTGCAGTTACGTCTGCGGTTACTGTCCTGAGGCTACGTGCATTTGTTGACGTTGACTTTGTAGTTGCATTTTGGTAGTTGGTATCGTGGAACTCGAGGTGTACTGACGCGCTGCAGAGGTTTTTTAGACAGAAACGAATATCTACGGAAATAAGACAAAGCGAATATGGGTCTTGCTGTAATGTCTGCGTTCGTTTTGTAATGACTCGTTAGTGGATGTTTTGTTTTCGTAAACATTCGTTGTGCATGAATGCCCCCACAGTTACGAGATACAAGCCAGCGCCACTTAAATCACTTCAGTTCGAAAAACGACGTCTGTCAACTTGAAAGACGAAACTTCGTTCTGGGTAAAATGAACAGATTTCGTCTAATGCGGGCCACTGATCCTTTTTTTTTTTTTTCACCGCCCCGCGCCAGTGATTTCTCGGTGCGCGTTTATGTGCTAGCTGCTTATCCCAGCGTATCGTCGCGACGGCATTAGGAACCTCGATTGCTCTTCAGTCGATGTGGATGGTTTATTGTTAGTGGCCCCCCTCTTCTTTCCGCGTGGAGTAGAGGAGATTCCTCCTTATCTATATAAGAATCCACGCTCCTAACCCAGTCATTCTCCGGCGCACTTCACCCTTCGCGTATGGCCGGGACGTTTTCCGCGTTGACCGTGTTTGTGCTGGGCAAACAGCGGCGACGGATATTTGCGCTGTCCTGAAATCGAAAAGTCAAGTGCCCGTGAGAGTTTCCCGGGTGTTGCTCGCATGCCAGTTCCCGCTGTGTGCGCTTACGCTTCTGCGTGTAGGGACATGTATAGCTTATTTTTTCCTCAATCTTCCCTATTTTCTGAGCGCAGTAAGAGTTGACGAACGACTGGCTTCCTCGCCTCGCTTCTTTGGGCTCCCTTCTCTCGTTCCCCTCTGATATATGACATAGTTCTGCGCTTCCAAGAGGACAAAAGTACTTCAGTAGAAAATCCAATTAGATTCTACAGGGTGTCCGTGATCCTCGTTATTGTCAGCGTGGAGGAAAAAAAGCTGCTAGTAATAGCGAGCGACCACTTTTCAGTCGACGACACGGGCCTCAGCTGGGGCTGGTGTAAAGTAAAAAAAAATGCCAAACATATTTGCCGAGTTTGCTTAATATTTTAAGGAGTGAGTGCTGTGGGTTCTGCTGTCAACGATCTTATTTGACGTTGGCGTTTCTACGATAATGATCATTAACAACGTAAAACGTAGGTGCCCAGCTCAAGGGTTGCGCAAATTAGAAGTGTAGCAGCTTGGGCTAGTTGCTATGGCATGACTATCGTCATCGTTAAGGGTTGTGCAAAGTAAGGGTTGAAGAGGGTTCTATGTTAGTGCAGTCAATTTGCAAGTGACAGATGCATTGCGATGTCAATAATGGCAAGATGTCCAAAATTAAATTTTCTCGCCCAATTCTCAGTCTATTGTTTCGATTGCAACTACGTGACTTTTTTTTTTTGAGCGCCGCTTAAACTAAGCGCAACATGAGCGAAATAATTTAAAACTCGGAAAGAAACTACCAATGTTATTAGATAAAAATTGACAAACAGGAGTATGAAACGTACCCTGAATAATAGCCGCCAATATAGGCTCACCTGAAGAAACGTGCACGCCATTTCTGTACTTGCTCAACAAGCTAAGTTGATTGATAGACGTTATAAAATTTATGCATACGCCCACAACCCGGTGCTTATCACAAAACGCTTTCAAAACATGCCTTGCAAAGGGTAATAGTCACCGACCTAGTTTTTTTTTTTTTTAAATCTAGCTCAGTAGACTTCGTTTTGTTATTCAGCAGTAAGTTCTATGTCGGGGGTGTTTATTTAACAACCATCTGAACACGAGACAAAATATAAATCTGGTCCCCATTTTTCACCTGATTTCGGAAGTACTTCGTGCATATGCGGTCAACGCGGGAAAAAAATCTGCTTTTTAGCGCGAGCTTGCTTAAGAAATATTGTCGCAGTATGACATCTAACACGTGTTCGAGGTATCTTATCATTGACATGGTCATCTGATATAGTGCCATTTAAAGGCGCCAATGATATTAAGTTTCGACCTGGTGGTGGTTGGTAGTGCTAATTTTGCCACAAGCTGGCTGACCCTGGGTGGCAATTGCTTCCGCCTGAGTGACTTTCTATGTAGTTCGGCTCACGATACATCAACGCTTTTGAGTGTGTGTGTGTGTGTGTGTGTGTGTGTGTGTGTGTGTGTGTGTGTGTGTGTGTGTGTGTGTGTGTGTGTGTGTGTGTGTGTGTGTGTGTGTGTGTGTGTGTGTGTGTGTGTGTGTGTGTGTGTGTGTGTGTGTGTGTGTGTGTGTGTGTGTGTGTGTGTGTGTGTGTGTGTGTGTGTGTGTGTGTGTGTGTGTGTGTGTGTGTTACATCAATTTATAGAGCATTTACATATTGTTACTTATTCGAAGCTTCACAATGGTAGTCACTTGATATAATATGCGTGAATACACATTAAAAGGCTCAGAAGAAATTACGCCGTGAACTGTGACATTATTTCAGCCATAACGCGCAACGTTCATTCACACTGTTGACACACGTCCGAGTTCTCGTTGACATGCACGTACCGCTGCTTCTTCGATAACTCGTATCAGCAGTGGGCAATGTAGATGTCGTTTCGACATGTGGTCTAACTCGCAATTATGGCTTTTGCAGGTACGTCAACGTTGCAGTGTAAATGCGACATCCGATTTCGTAGTCGATTCCTGTTCTTTATCGGCGTAGTATTCCACCTAGCCGTATTACTCTCTTTCATGCCGCTGTTTCCTGTCTCTTTTTTTTTTACTAGGGAAGATTGTTAGCTGCGCGAATTTGTCATTTGCTGTCTTTGTTCCAAAAATAGTGTCGGATTACAATTTTTATTCTTTTCATCTCGGGTTCTTTTCTTTTTACTTTCTCAATCTCACTACGTCACCTGCATCTACTGCTACGTATTCTCGCAGGGCGCAACATGAGTTATGTTTGCTACAAGAAATAGAAACGTTTTCAAGCCATTATGAAAATCGCGACACTGTTTAATACTCTGTCGACGGTTTCCCGACACAGAGGCAGAAATCTCGGGTTGTAGTAATTCTCCTTATCTGAAATTTAGTTGTCTCTTAGTTAAAACATTGTGTTGCTAAACAACCTACAGTACACGATTTGATGCTTCATGATTTTTGAAGACCTCTGAAAGTTGGTATCGATAGACCTCTGAAAAGTTGGGTATCCATACCCAACTTTTTAATTAGCAACACATGGTATTATAAACAAATCGGCATCATAATAATCATAACCGTAGTCATGAACATGATCATCCATTGTGATTATTCATAAGAACGCCTAAACTAGAATCTAGCTGATCTAACTATGAATAATTGGCGTTGAGGACATTCGTAAAGACAGGAACGTCAACGCGGAATACGTCCGGAACTAAATTACTGTGACGTTTCAAATTGTGTTACAAACGTATTGCTGTTCAGGCATCACTATGTTCATTATATTTTTTCATGGACAACCATTATTTAATTATTCTTTCTTGTCTTGCTTGAGAAGGGAGAATCGCAACATTGTTAACTGTGGGTTGTCACAGTAACTTACGACAATAAACAGTGTTGTGTTCATTTCCCGCTCTATAATTATAGGGCTGTTGTACGTTGCCTTTTTATCTTGACGTACTTGAGCTGACTACAGTCCTAGTTACGACAGCATCCTTGTTGAAAATGAAAGCAAGATCACATGTTCTTAATTATATTTGAACAAGTCTCCCACCAAGCAAGCCAGAACGCATTTCCTGCATTCTTGCATAGTCGGTGTCTTTCTTATCATGCCACCATACTAGGTGGCCCCCTGTCAAAAACATCACCTCAGAGCCCGTAGTAGAAGGCAACTTGACGCATCAGATGCTACAATAAACACGAGTCAACAGCTAGGTTTTCGCGAGGACTCCTTTTTTTTTTTTTTGTTGAACCTGGAATGTGGGCACATAATTTACCATCTTATCTTCACGAGTATGCAGGAATGAATAACAAGCCTAAATTAGAGTTAGAGAGCTCAGTAGTTTAGTGTCAGCGGTTTCAACCCTTCAGCAAGTCGGCGCCTCTGATAAGCGGAAGCCAGCTTGCTGCATGAGTTTCAACACACTTGTACATTATCTTCCTTATCTGTGCCTCAGCGTGACTGATGCTACAAAACTTATTGTTGTAGGAGAGAAAAGCTTAAATTGCTGAAAGCCGTATCTTAGAAGCCCGAAGTTGTAAACAAGGTTTCAAACACGTTTGCCTTTTCTAAATATCTCGAATTCAAGGACTGCAAGGCCAGTCAACCGTACAGGCTCTCACTCAATTTCAGCACTGGTCATCCTCGTCTTCTTTCACAAGCGCTTGTAATGAGATGAGCGGATGCACCCGTAGCGGCATCTGCTTCCTTACACGACCAACATATTTTTAGACTGTCTGCGCGGCAAACATTAGCCTAATTAATGTTTCCAAACATTTTCAAAATGCTGACGTCGTATGCAATTTTATTGGGAGAAAGTGTTTTGATCGCAAGACACTTTGTAAATACGTAACAATGCTTCGTTTTTGCTGTCACCCAGGCGCAATGAGGACGCCGTGGTCGCCATCACTACTTCTAGCCTGGTTAACGATCGGCCAGCAACAATTCTCGGTAAGTTGCCGGTGAACTCAAGTGGGGCTTTTTTTTTTTACACTGATTGTACAAACTGTGTAGCTTGATCGCCTCTAGGAAAACATCGCTATATGACGCTAAAGAAATATTCTAGAACACATTTGCGGCATCTTTGGGAGTTTACACAAGCCTCGAATTCCAAAGTTTCTACAAGTTAGTACCCCACGTGGTACTCATAGCGACCAGAAAAAGCGCTCGTGTGGTCCCTTGTTCATTGCTTCACTTTCTTTTTTGGCGGTTCGCTTAATTCATAGTGATTTACCAACACACCCACTCTGTGGAAAGCCACTAGTGTGAACGTTTATACCGAAACTCTGAGTGTACCACAACTAAATTTAGCTTCGGGCCCAATTCACCGCAGCATGAACACAAGTTTTTAGTACAATGCGGAATACCTGTAACGATATTGAGGTTATTCTTTTTAGGAGGTACATGTGGGTAACACACATCTTCGTATTTGTCGACATTTTTGGCACCGCATTACAAATCTGATCTTCTCAGTCGATAGTAGCTTATTCTCTTGCATACTCTATTCTTGCCGATCGACGTTCATTTCTTATTTCTAGTGGCTGCCGTGCTGATTGTAAGAAGTATCGGAAGCCCCCAACATCATCACAGAATCATTCAATCAACTTCTAGACAACTCAATGAACTTGGAGTCAATGATGTGGGAAAACTACAAATGTTTATTGTTGTGCTTATGTGTCCTTTTCTGTCCCAGCTTCTCTAACTGTGCCGTCTCAAACATCGAATACAGTGATACTCTGTTTTTCGTTTGAGAGCACGTTGGGGAACCTTTGATGGTCAGGGTTAACTAAGTCCTGCCATGCAATGAGATAATGGACGTGGTAGGTTAAACCGCAATTAACTTACCGTAAACGAACAGTTTCCAGACGCCTCTATAATCGGGGACAGCTCATGCTGGCAGCATGCGAAGGCTAAGCAGGTGGGATTCCCGCACATTTATGTTACTTCATCAGCAGTGCTCTTCTCTTGAAGCTGATTTTGTTTCGTTTTGGTTTTGCTTGCTCCTTGAGTCAACGCGTTTAGAACATACCAGCAAAACGGAAACGTGAAAGGGGCCTTCATAATGCTCAGTGTGAATGTTATTGTTAGATTCCGAGCGTATTTTTCTTGGAAAATGGAACGGCGAGTTTGTGGCCGCACGTAGACAGACGTACTTTAAGAACGAAATACTCTGTGCGGAGAACAGGCACGAGGGAAACGTGGGAATTGTCTGGGAAATGCATAAAACACATCCCTCTTAATTTAAGCGCTTTATTTCACGTGTGACTCGCTACAAGTCTTTAAAACTTCGTGATAGAAGAAACGGCACTCCTTTAAGATAGGTAAACAAAAAACTGATAAAATCAGGTACTAGTTCTTGACGCGAAGCCTTACATGAGTTTCGGTTTGGTAGCTGCTTTGAAGCTGCCTTTAAAAGTGGTCCTCGAGTGCAGCACGTGCTGAAACAACTTCAAGATATTTCTATTTGAGAAGCTCAGAAAAGCCAATCACAATTTTTTGGCACTTCAACGCAGATGTGCAGAGCCAGGACAAGCTCATCTTCATCTCATCAGGCGTGGTCTGACTGGAATTTCTGGTCACCATGCAGTCGAACTTGCGGAGGTGGCGTAACTACCCGGGCCCGGCCTTGTATTGCGAGGTAATATTGAGATGGTGCCTCACGCAAGATCGGAATCAAATCAGTGACGCGCTGTTTTAAAATGCGAGTAGTTGCGCACTTTTAGATAAATAATCGAGACATAATTGTTTATCATTCGCTTTACTATATCTTCTATGTTTATACAGCGTAACTGATCATGTCAAACCCTGTCCTGAATAATATTTCACTTTAAAAAAAATAAGTTTTAAATCAAACATTAGGCCCAATCTGCATGATGGAATCAGTTTGAAGCGAGCCATGCGGCAGAATTTGGCCATACTCTGCTTTTAGTAGCATCACGTCTATCTGAAAATTGCTAACGTTTGGTCCTCATATCAGCTGAACAAATTATTCGACGTTTCTCGCACGTTTTTCGAGGCCATATTTCTTACCTGCGTTTCTTTGCAGGAGCTCACTCACAGCGACGAATTCTCATTACGCAAATTGTACCGGGACGTTATGGGAGCACAAACTCTGCAACACTGAGGTATGCTACTTAATTTGTGCGTGCAACCAAATACTTAACATTCAGGGTTCACTATCCCAGTGCTTGAATTTATATCTAGTCTGAAATTTTGTAGCTACGGCTTTAGACTGCCAACTAAATGCGGTGCCAAATCTCTTTCGCACCATTCATTGTGCGTTCACTCAGACTCAATTTGTATTTTTCGTTTCGGGCTGAGTCTTCGCATTTGTGTGAACATCGCCGTGCATTTCAGAAATGCCCTCCGGGCAGCGAGGATTTCACCGACGTCCAGTGTTCTGCCTTCAACAACCGATTGATGGGCAATGGACGGCGAGTTGCCAAGTGGTTTGCAGAAGAACGCCACACACCTAGTAAGGAGTGGTCATGCGCATTGATTTATCATTACCTTTTCTGTATGTACAATTTCACTTCTGCGGCTCGAAAGCTTGCCATTTGCATTTGTGTTAACAATAGTGCTTTACGCAAATGGTCACACATACTCACGCCTAAAATTGAAGTGTCAATTATTGCAGCTGGGTTCTTGTATTTTGAGCTGCTAGGATTGTGTAACTGCGTAGGCTGGTGTCTTTAGCATAAGTTCTGAAAACGCAAGCCTTAAGCGCTTATGCTGAAGGCTTCTTCCTTACTTATCGTGGCTACTCATCTACTTCAGATTATCTACGTATCCATTTATCTACTTCGTTACTTATGTTTGCTTGGGGAAAAGCAATCCATAAAATGTGTCAAAAAATGTGCAATGAAGACGGGCAGCCTCAACATCGAATATTCTGCACATGAACACTAACCTACCGGATGTAAACAAATATATACAGTTGCATGTGACGGTGCAAATACTTTGAATAGTCCACAAAATGTTCATTCTGTTAGATTGAAAGATTTTTGCTCATTATACGGTTCCGTCAAACGGGTGTACTGCAACGTGAGAACTTGTTTATGTGGAACGAATGGAAATGATCAACACGTTTTTCACATCTTTCTTTGACGTCTGGGCCAACAACTGCTCCCTGTTCCTGTATACTTGAGTTCTTTTCTCGAGGGATGTTTTTAGATATATTCTTCTTAAGGTATGATTCGTTGGGGCATTGAGCTATGATATTATACTTGGCCCTAGCCAAGTATTCCATCAGTGAGACAACGTGTACTGTGGGCTTGCGAATCGAATGTCTCAAGGTCATCTTCCAGTTTTCGAATTTCTACGACGGACTCGTAAAATGTCTTATGTCACGCTAAAGAAAAAAGCCGGTTTCTGCGACATTCCGGACGAATACAAGCATTCATTCCACAAGATTTGTTTTTAACCTTTGCAGAACGAAATCCGTGTGAACTAAGGTGTAGATCGCAAGATTCTACAATGATCTTCAGTTTTGGAAAGATGGCGGATGGCACTTCGTGCGGCTATTCCAAGACATGCGTCAACGGGAGGTGTAAGGTGAGCTTTAGTAATGCAGAAATGGTGAACGCTGTTCTTCGTTTTGTGAATGGCGCTTTACATTCCTTGTCAATCCTGTTATTGCTACCACTTGCTCTGAAGCGACGTTTTTTCGTTTTTGTGTGCGTGTGTGATCTATGCATCTTTTTGCTAGTATTTTCACCTGCTGTATTTTGTTTTATACATTTTATTGTTACCGGTGTTTTACGTGCTGCCAATACTGTTCAAGTCAAATCGCATATTCGTTGTACAGACTTTTTTCTTCTTTCAAAGTGTATAGACAGTTCGTTTTCTTTTTTGTGCAAGATGTACCTGTTGTGCAGCCCACTCCTGCTTACTTATTTATTTACTAAATTATTTATTTATTAATATATAACAATTCATAGTTGTAATTGGCCCGAACGAGTGAGACTATATTCCATGCCGAAGTGCATAGTCTGTCGTAAACTATGTCCAGCCTTCTCTCACAGAAGGCTTATCAGTTTAGATGGCAGGACCTCCTATCAATATAACTTTAATTGTAGACCTTCGCAGATTAGTCTAACAGGAAAAAGATCAATATAATAACACTTTGTTAATACTTCAAGCGAAAATAGACCATTTGTATCGTGTTCTTACAGTGATATTGTGTTATCTGTGTTTTCTAATCTTCAAATAGAAAAACCAGTCATAACCATCTTGCAAGTTTGCTTTTGCGCCTTTTTCCCAAGGAACCTCATCAAGGAAGGTTCCTAAATACTTTCTTTTGGGATGTCATGTGTCATTGATGTTCCCGCTTATAGAATTAGCGCGCTTAGGTTCTCTGTGCAAGCACTTCGTGCAATAGAAAGCGAGTACCTAAGTGGTCATCAAAAGCGGCAGGTTCCCATTACAAAAGCGAGACAAGTGTACTGCAGGGCAGGACCGGACTGGGCTGATGAATAAGCGCTTGACTGGCTAGACGTGTTTTGAATGGTAACTGCAGCTCAACTAGCACTCTTTATATTTGAAATGTATTAAAACGTGTTATTGAATATTCTTCTATTCAACGAACTTATTTTTCCTGCTTCTTTCTTGTCACACTAAAGCCGAGAAAACGTGATAGTTATTGCAGTAAACCGTGCTCCTTCAATGAAAACTAAAAATATTCTTCGCACGTTCCTGTTGAAGCAATTTTAATTCCATGTGTTCGCTATAACACAAGCATGACTGACAGCCATTTTCTAGTAACAATGTGGGATTCCTTTTTAAATGCGCGACATAAGTCGTTGGAATGTTTAAGATCCAGACCAAGATTTAAAGAAGTAAACGTGTGAAGGCTTTTCTCTTTGTTACACAAAATATTTATGAAAAGTAAGTGTTGCCAAGAATAATATATGACGTTATTCGTACTAATTGTTTTAATGTGATGATACAAATTCTCTTCCAAGTCATGCACGACTTAGTGCAGGCTTGGCCATTTTGTTACATTAAGAGTAGCTATTCGTCGCACTTGCGCCAACTTGCACAGCCACTGCATTCAGCAGCAACCCTAACACTACTACTGTATTTGCCATAACTACTAAGAAAGAGAGAGATAAAGAAATAGAAAAGTCAGAGGAGTTAACTAGACGAGCATCTAGTTTGTTACACCTACAAAATACAAATATTCACATTGGTGTAAACCTGCTCGGTCCATTTGGTATTACACGAATTTCAAGCAGAAAACATTGCTGTTTTGATTATGATGTAACGATGAACTCAAGGGAACAGGTACGTTGTTCAATCGCCTAACAATACGCAATCTTGCAGGACGTGGGATGTGATGGTATCATAGAATCAGGAGTACGTATGGACGAGTGTGGCGTTTGCGGAGGCAGGAATTTAACATGCGTTCAGGTGCAGCAGATGTCTTCTACGCAAGGTGAGTTTCACGACAGGTGACCAAATGCACTTGCGAAAGGCATGCAAAGATGCACGGCACAAATTGGTTCGGTACTCTTGCGAAACTCGGCATGTATGAATTTTTGGTGTATTTGTGTATGAGAAAGTTGATCGAGTGTTACTTATTGCTGTCATGTTCTGCGCATTCGATCACCATTAGGCATTTATCTACACTACATGAACTCTAACAGCAGGAGGTGGCTTTGTTTGTCTACTTTTATGCTATTGTATTCATAGTAAATGCGACAATTCTGCAAGTTCCATGCGTTTAAACGACCAATAAAAAGCATTTGTAAATCCGGCTTGGCCCTGCACTGATCAATTGTCAGGAGAAGTGCACTTTTCTGACTGTAAATCATTACTTTTTTTTAATAGCCATATTTCACGGGCCTACTCATTCCATGCCACAGGTGGAAGGAGAGGAAAAAATTATTTGATTAGACTAATGATCACGTGTTGATTATTAAGACTACTAACCGAAACAGCACTACCGTAAAAATTAAAAAAAACACTAATCAAGTTGAAGGCTGACAAACCTTTTTTAGTGAACTGTCGCCCCAGAACTATTCAGGAACATAGCGGAAACAAGTACTTTATGCACGCTTTGCTGTTCAAGCGTTATATGGCGGCCTAGAGCTGTTTACTCGCACCATAGCGTGACGTTGCTTGGTAACGCGTAGTTGTGCCTTTTCTTCAGAATTAATGGCTAGATCTCTATTGCTCAGGCAAGATCAAGGTCATATATATTATTGACAGTTGCACATCATATTTTCTTGCATCTTCTTCACACTTTTTTTTTCCTAGGAGAACTGTACAAATACATGGCCGTGACTATCATTCCGCGTGGCGCCACTAACATTCGTGTTGAAGATGACAGCCACAATGTGCTGAGTACGTACATTCAGCCCACCTCCTTGCCCTATTCTTTTTTTTCTTTATGCGTGTGCGCATCAACACTTCTTAAACTTCTGAATCAATATTTCTGTTCCTGGGCGGTGTGTTGCAGCTCTATGGGACCACTGGCCCAGCCGTTCGATATCGCCAAACAAAGGCATCAGCAACAAAACGATTCACTGGGAATCACGAAAACTGGATGGCGGCACTTCGACCATTCTTGCCGGGGGTACGAGCTTCACCCACGAGATGGCCGAAAATGGCAGCGAAGCCCTCACAGCTGTCGGCCCCACAATGAAGGCGGTCACGCTCGCGGTAAGCAAATTGGGCAGGGCCCATTCGTTTCACATGGCGTTGCCTTAACGTTATCTGTTGTTTGAACAATACAAGCGTATTGATGTATTGAGTAGGCACTTCGCACTTCTTTCCACTCATGCCTACGCGTAATGCATACAATGCTTAGCAGAACACCAGCATATGCAAACATCTCCGCGTGCAGCACCGGACAAAAAAAACTGAGACAGGTGTCAAGTTTGCTTGTTTTTTTTTTTTTAATCTTCGATAAGTATGTATGACTGTCAAGTCAGTTCTGCCGCGGAACATCGCAAGACAACGCAATAACTTATTACTTTGTAGTTGTAACAAAGCTTGAGGTCGTTTAACTTATTTGTTCTATGGCAGAAGCAGGTTCTTTTCCTTACCTAGGTGCAGTAACTTGCATGCATTTTATATTTGTATTGTGATCATTATATGTAGTGAAATGTGCATGCCAAAAATATCATCGCCTGTGTGAGCAAGTGCTGGCGTTAAGTTTTCAACACAAACAAGCTGATATTGAAGATTTGACATTTAGAAAGATTTCTTCGGTTCTCTTTAGACGGCGCTATTCTTTTGTTTTAGGAGTGTCGTTTAGACTGTTCTCTTTCATTCTTTCGTACGTTATTTCTCTTCCCCAAGTAAAAGGCAGCACACTGTAGTTGTTCGTGGCCAACCTTCCTGCTTTTCCTCTACCACTCTCTTTCTTCAGTTTATTTTGTTTTCTAAGGTGCCTAAGTTAAGCCACATTATTACATGGATTTGTGCCATGAAGGCCTGTCTCGAAGACCACCGCCTTTCTGTAGCAGTGACACTGCGCCATCATTTCTAATCCCAAGGTTGTCTTTTCTCGTTTGCAGGTATACATGGTTAAGAAGGCCAATTCCAGCGTTCGGTACCAGTACTGGGTTCCAAAGGAAGACAACATGTTGCAGAGTAACGTGGTGGAGCCCCCGAGTTATCTTGTTCAGAGAGCCGAAGCTACAACGGAGCCTCTTGCTACGGTACACCATTACCGGAGGGCTCGGGTCTATGCAGAGCCACTCGAAAGCAACGCCATTCCGTTCATCACAGATGAAGCGGCAAACACCACTAGCACAGATGATGTCTCACAGACTCCCGCAATCAGGCATAAAGCAGCTAGTAAGTTCAGCCCCCTATTTTTCTCTTTATTAGCCTCTCTCCCGTTTTATACTCACCTATCAACAATTCTTCGGTGTAACCACAAGCTCGTCCCATTGCACATCTTCTCTCGTTATAATCTACAAGAGCTGACAAACGGGGAATCATTTACAGCAGCCAGAAAGTTGACGGCACTTCAATGTAAACAAAACAGGATAACAGCGATGATCACTCCATGCGGGTAAAAATGCTCTCCGGCTGGATACACGCGCTCTTATTCTACTGCGTGTCTGCTCCTTCCCTTTTTACCTTACTAAAGCGGAGAAAGTCGTGTTTATGAGGTTTCAGGCAGGTGTGGTCTTTCCACCGGCTGCAATATCATCGTTGAACTTGTCGAATTTACCAGGTGATACCTGTCAGTATCGTACTACTTCAGTGATACAAGCAGATGCATACCACCTTATATGGACATGTACATGATCGCAGTCGGAACACTCCCGTCACCTCCTGCAAGCCGACCTTCGCTACAACGACACGACCAGTAACACCCTTTCACACATGACAGCACATTCTTCAGCACTGCACTTCCCTTTGTACACACTGAAGTGGCTGCATTTCAATGGAGGTGAAAATGCTGTGGGCCCATGTGCTCAAATTTGGCTGCACGTTAAAAAACCCCAGATCGTCGCAATTTCCGGAGCCCTCTACCACGGCGTCTCTCATAAACATGTAGAGGTTTTGGCTCGTTAAACCCCACATATCAATCAATCATCACTTCATACACAACACAGGCCTAATGGTGCACTACTAGTACATATATACGCACAAAGTATTGTCGCAATAAAAAAAACTACAAAAAGCTCACGGGTATGAACATAGCGATTGGCAGCAATGCAGTGGCAATTCCGAAATGTATTACCCTGTAATAAGTTTTTTTAGCTGTAGAACACTTACCTGTTCTTAGCGCATGGTCAAAAGTTGTCTCACTATAAATGGCTTAATTATTGTGATAAAATAGCAAATGTGGTAATTAGTACTTCAAGAAATATTTTCTGAGGTGGGTGGCCCTACTGTATGCAACATTTATTGGAGTAATTTATATAATCATTGTTGTCAGTGGAAATAAAATTTAATAAACGTTACAATGTGTATCACGAAGTGAAACGTTACAATGTCCTCGCTTGTTCGTAGAGGCTTCCTAATGATCTTTTATTAAATTATTTTTGTACTTCTCACTTCTGTAGTTAAATAAGATAGTTTTTATTTTCTAATTTACTTTGATAAAATTTTCTTTCTTTTTCTTCGCCTAGAAATGGCTTTATGTGAACAGGGGGACTCTTTCTGAGATTTCAGTTCATTTGACATTGAACCGTGTATGTTAAAAATTTGTGAAGTGATTCTCTCGATAAGGTGCTTCATAAAACCAACTTCGCTTTCGGTTGATTGTCTTGCCTTTATAGAAAAAGTAGAAACAGTCCCTGTATAACCATCAGGTTTATTTTTATCGCTGTGCGTTAGGTTACAAAAATTATGGTATCGCCGAATTTGAAGAGGCCCTGAAAATCTTTTTCAGCTAACCATGGAATAGGAGGAGGAGAAAGTAAGTTTAGGCGAAAAGACAGGGAGGTTAGCCAGTTCTTAGACCGGCTGTCTACCCTGTGCCGGGGAAAGGGTGAGGGGAATAAAAGATGTTAAAAAGAAATGTTGCGAAGAGAGAGAGAGAGAAATTACAAAAAATAAAAATAAAAAATAAATGAAATGAAAATGAATTCACTGAAAGAGCTTACTGCCTCGTGAACTCAATGCCGCAAACATGCTAAGAATCCGTCCCGTACGAGTGGTGCTACAAAGATTTGTCGCATGCTGCAATTGCATTCTCTCTTCTCTTGTCCCGACGAAAGCGCTGGAAGCTAAGGGAAGGGGAATGGTCTGTGCAAGGAAAACACGTTCGGTACGCCTCGTGACCTTGAGCACTTTTTTCTTCGAGTACGCGGCTTTTTCAGTGTGATCGCGCACGCACGCGTGGGCAGGTCGCGGCCTTCCGTGGCGACCCCTTTATTGCATGTACGCGCAATGTTCAAATCAACCTATGGCTGACAAATGGCCTTCTACGAGAGCTTCCTCTGTCATTGTCGACACCTGGGATACTTCGGTGCAGCAGGCAGGGCCTAACACTTGATGCTTTTTAGGTAATTTTTACATCGCCCAACACCACTTTCTGTCATTTGTCGACAGAAGAGAGGGTAATTTTAGCTGAATTTAATAATTTATTGTGAATCTCAGGCCACGTGGTGTACTACACTTCGCTAGCGTGTTCTCGGGAGCCTCTACTATCGATCGGCCGTGTCTTGTGACCATGCTGAATACGTGTTTTAGGGCCCCTTTAAAGCACCTTTCAACTAAAGACTGATTCCAAATGTAGAATTTTTTTTCCTTTCGCAAGTAGCACGGACCAGCAGTAGTTTTCAAATTCAACTTTTACCGTTATCGTTTGCAGTAATTTGACCTTCCATGCTATTTTTTATTACAGAAGATTTCCACATTTTTTTTAATCTTGTGCCGCCTTTTCTTTTTCTCTCCAGAAACATGGCACAAACCTAACAAGGACAACAAAAAGAAACGTGAGTGTCGGGGCAACAATGCATACATTACTTACGTGTCTCCAACTTTTCGATCAACTTAAATAGAAAACTATGCTATTGTTTCACATCAAGATAAGGCTGGAACACTGGTGAATAATGCAGTAATAAGCCCATTGACTTGCTTGAGCCTCATTTACACGGTGCACGGTCGCAGGCTACGGTTCTAATTGTCTAAACTTCTAAGCTTTGATCAAGAGTGCTATGCTAATGAACACATCTCCATTTTCGTATTCAAACAATTAGAGGCATTTTAATGGTGATGATAATGCTGCCAAAAGAAAGATTAAAGCGTACTTAGCCCTGGTGGCGCCAAGTGTGACGTAAGTGCGGAGCTGAGCAGTCTTCCTTCTTTCTCTTTGGTTTTTTGTTGCTTGTTCTATTCCGCAGTTTTTATACTTATACTTTTTATTTCTATCGTTCTATCTTTTTTTCTCTTTCTATTTATTACTTGGTTCCTTTTTTTTGCAATATTTGTACGGGCTTAGTGTTATCGTGTTCTCCTAGCCGTAGCAATAGTCAGCCCCTAATATCATTATCAAGGCACTCGAAGAACAAGAAGGCTTCTCTCTGGCCCGAGCGCGCGCTCAGTATGCCTCAATTGGCTATTGCTACGCTGAATTCGGTTTTCTCTGCTATATCAAAGCGTTCGAAAAACAAGAGGAAGACCACTCTTTGACGTTGGCGTGCGCTCAATCGCTACACCTCGCTATGCGATATGTGGTTTTTCCTGCGTTACACCGCTATTGCCTGAGCGCTTTACTCTCTTGACACTTACTGGACTGCACTGAAATGACGCCACTCCACTTTGCTATTTGTGACTGAGAGTGGCTTTCACTAAGTCACCCTCCTTTCGGATTGCAATGGCTGACAACCACTTTTTGGGACACCTGTGGTAGCAAGGAAACCTTAGAGAGTATTCTCTGCGACTGTCCTCTCTACATTACACAAACATCTCCAGCAGCCACTATAGCTGGCATAGATCAGAGACCGATGACGGCAGAAACCATTCTGAGATGTGGACCCTGCAGGGGAGGACGTGGCGGGTGCAGACGAAGAAGGCGGTGCTAAAATTTTTGAAGGCAACAGACTCGCACAAGCGTATATAGATATACTGCGCTATGGTGACTGTGAAATACTTTATATGGGATCACTCTCCCTTCTCTCTCTTTATCCATGTTTAAAACTCTCCCACCCCTTTCCCTTGTGTAGAGTAGCATACCAGTCATATTAAACAGGTTAACATCCTTGCCATCTCTTTCCTCCTTTCCCAAGTTGCATAAAGCTTCGACGACGGCACACGACGTTCTGGCTCTCTAGAGTGCTCTGCACATAAAACGGCTTGTGCGCTGCTTTCGTGGTGCACCCGATATCGCTGTTACCTTCTCAACCATCAATAAATATCTTTGTAAAAGCAACACATGTGTCGATGTTTGACAATATCAATTCGCCTGCTTCGACGTTCCCGTATTAGCATAACGTGAGGCGTACGCAAAGGTAGCATTTTAAGAGAAGTGTCCCGAATGGTGCGTAGAGTTCGAAATAAAAAAAAATACGCACGACGAAGCGCATCAGTTTTCTTCGTCATTTCTAGGCGATTCTGCATCGTAACCAAAACGTCATAAACGCTAAAAATCTTCTCAGCTCGTAACTGATACGACAATAAACATTTATTTGGGGTGCAATGCTTGTTCTTTACAGGAAAGTGTCTCGTGTGCCATCGTCCGAAAAACCAAGTGCGCCATTTTTGCAAGAGCGACGTTGGTAAGTATGACACTGCAGTGTCTGTAATAATACTCATGGAGGGTTTTTTTTTTTAATGCTTACGATAGCACTTTGATAACGCGATTAAAGGTCTGCTTGTCATGGCGATCGCTTTCAGCCTAGACCTAGACGGTCAATTTCATCACACTTACCACTTCCCAATGAAGATGATGATCTGCCATTCTTATGTGACAGTCTAAGGGCCCCACTCACCAGGGTGCCTTCGTGGTTAAATGAATGAAGCTTGAATTCCTGACCACAGTGGCCGCATTTCAATGGAAACAAAACACGCTCACCCGTGTGCTTTTAAAGGCCAACTACGGCGATTTTTTTGACGATGTCGGGATAATGGTGGTTTTACGTTCTTTAGACACTCCTCTTATGCGCCGGATAACTGAAATGCTCAAAAAATTCGAAAAAAAAAATTTAAATGCATATAACCGCTATACCGAAGCCTAACAGAGTGCGCTTCTACGTGTGACGTAAATATTTGCCTGACGCTGCCGGAACCTGTCTGATTGCACATAATACCCGCCAGATGGCCCCACCTGTCCATGCAGTCTGTGGCGATCGGTTAAAACGCTTACGCTGTTATGGCTAATATACGCGGAATCGTGTGTGGCTCACAACACATAGCAGACAAGCAGACCTTGCAGTGACACATCAGTTTATCCCTTCCACCAGGCAAAACTCAACGAACGTCACACACACATTGTTACCATCTATTCTCTCAAGCGGGGTGAGCGTTTTGAGACAAGCTATAAAATTTAATTGAAAAAAATCTGCGAATCTCCCAAACCTGCGATTCGGCACGAACGGCGCAAACGTCCAAACTAACCTACTCAGTGAATTTCATTGAGATCCACTGACTTCGAAAAATCGCCGGAGATGGCCTCTAAACTGAGGTGCTCGTTCACGAACCGTGGGAAGTCAAAACTAATAGGAAGTCACCCACCATACTGAAACTCACATTGATATCGTGGGTCTGGTATGTAGAAGCTTCCGAACGTAACTGAACGACACTTCAGCAGTCTGCTACTAATACCAGGGTATTCTAGACTAGAAACCTTGTATGCCGCATTCAATAGAAATGAACCTTGTATGCACCGCGTGTCACTTGGATGAAAATAAAACATCATTGATTATTCAGCATGTTTGAGACGTGTTTTGTTGTATAAAATTGCCGCAATTTATCCCCAACTTTTTTCACAATTAGGTTGATGTAGCTTGTAGCGGAAACTATAAAAGTTGAGTGTAGCCAGGTTTGGAGATAGCCGTCACCACAAGTGTTTTAAATTAGCAAATCTTATGAGCGCAACGTCTACCTGCCCGTTTACTTAAGCTTTGCGTTTAACTTGCTTGTAAGGTGTGGTTCTTTTTCTTTTCTTGTCGTATTGCTGATGGCCGTTGTAAATGTCTTGCATTGTCACACTTTCTTGCCTCTGCTAGTACACATTTTTTTGGCAAACTGTCTTTCAAAATGTGCCGCAGTTAGACTCATCTGCAGTGCCCCGTGCATTTTTGTTTAAACGAAGGGACACCTTTATCACTATATACTAAAAGCCACGCATCGTCAAAACTAAAGTTTTCATGGCGCAGAGTTTTTGTGCTGTCTTTTAATAACTCTATCTTTATCGCGTTCACAAACGCGTCGTAAATAAACTTGTGTGTACAAGCGTAGCACTACATTTCTTCGGTCTTATGGATAAAAATGGCGCCCGGTAGCTGTTGGCTATCTTCTCACACTTGTTGTTTTCTCGCGACACAATTCTAATCAATGTCATGTGCCGACTGCCAGAAGCGTGCTTTGTTGAGCTGTTTCTGTAAGTCACAAAGTATTGCGCCCAACCGAAGTACCTCTTTTTCCGTGGCCCAACCACTGCCAGCAAATTCCTGCAGTGTTTGCAACCCTCGCTCAACCGGTCACGAACGAAACTAATCTTAGTCGGGGCAGAAGTTTGATGAACGCGTCATTGACACTGAGCGCGTAGTTGCGTGACATGGGTTACTCTTGGCACAAGAAATCAAACATGCACTCGTGTAGTTTTCAATGGCACTCGACCACTTTTAGAACTCGAGCTCTGGCGTAATATTCTTACATCGATCCCTCCAGCGCTGTCAGTTGCTCAAAACGGGACAATGTAGATGCTGCGGAAGTAATAAAGTGTGCCCCGATGTTTATTTGTGCGTCTAGATTTGGCAAACAGCGTGATGAACTAGGTTATTCCCGTACGGGTAAAATAAAGTGTGATATCAGAAATTGTCTAGAGATCCGAGGCACTAGTGAAGACTCGTACAACTCGCACAGACCATTATGCCGGCCATATCGTTGGCAGCCAGATTGTCCCGGCCACAATGCACATTGCAGAGGAGAATCGCTCAGACATCCGACTTGATCTGCACACATAAACAAGCCACCATTGTGCATATTTTCAATTGCGCATTGTCTAAAGCAAGCAATTACCAGAATAGAGCACTCACTGACTCAAACGAGGCGTCGTTTTTCGTTTGTTGTTATAACGACTTGCATGTGCATCTTCTCAAAGTAACCCCGGTATCTTACGAGGAATCTGGTCTCTAATGATAATACTGTCCTTGATACCCGCGCCTGGGCTGAAATTACGCCGATGCTATCCCAACCGCAGACAGCGCAAACAAAACTGTCCGCTACTCAACGTTAAATTTGCCAGTTTTAATCTGTGAGTACTGTGCGCAGGCTATCGACACACTGGTCGAAAAAAAAATGTCATAGAGATCGTTTTGAGTGGTTCGTCAAGGCCTCTCGTCGATGCGTGGGCTACTGACATGTTTTTATTCAATTACTTTTGCCGCTAGGCTGCTTAGTCTCTAATGCTTTCTGTTCGCTTTTGCTAAAGAAAAGAAGGAATAAAAACTTTGTTGTTGCCTATGCTTTATGATCGTCTTCTGAAGGCCTAATGTTGCAAGATGGACAGAGAATAAGTGTAGACAGCCATATCGACATCTGGTTTGCTACTCGTTGCTGGAAAGGAAAAAGGGGCGTATGGAAGGAAGAGCTCGGAATAACCAGTCATTTCTAAGCACGCGCAAAATGTACGTTCAAACAACAAAGTAAGTGTGTGAAGGCTGAGCTTGGTCATCTGTACTTCAGCTGAATTGTTCGATGTGCTTGCGAATATACTTGGCATTCAAATCATCGTAATCTTTAGATCTTGCAGCATTTCGACTACATTAAGAAGCCTGCACCTCACTCGGTGTATTCAGCACATACGGTCACGACCAAGCTTGAATCGAGGCACTCCACAGAGTGTCTTGGAAGCAGTTCGATTGACGCCCTCGCTGCGTATCCATTGGGACATGCAAGCATAGCATACGATTCGAAGCCGATACTGTTACCCATACATTCCGACATAGTGTCCAAGGATACCGAACTACTTATTTTGGCAACAGTGCCCGGCGCTTCCCGCTGGAATCAATTAAACCAGTCCAGGTCATACAGCAAAGCGTTTAATTTAAGCATGCTGATGACTGTACATCGCATTCTGTAAAGATTTGGCATGCTTTTGTACGAAATCAAAAAAAGTAGGAAAACGTGAATAACTTTTGTGAAATGATGTATTCTCTGAAACACTCTAATTTGATTTTTTAGTTGCCTTAAATGTATCAGTGGCAGCAGAAACACGTAACTCTTTCCCTCCCATGTACTTGCGATCGAGTACTCCTTGTTCTCAAAATAAGGAAATTTGTTTTTAAAAATTGGGCAAAATTGTTTGTTCTGGTTTGAATTGAGGGATATTGGATGCTTTGACAGCGGAGCAGAAGTTTACATACCATGAGCCAATCACCTGTCAGTTCAACAAGAAAAATTAGTTAAATAAGTTCACTAAAACAGTAGACACTTAAAGAAGTTGGGATTATTGCGGCATCTAGTGCAGCTGTGTCAACCCCACGCTTTTTTTTTTCTACGTGGCCTTCGAAACGAAACGTAAAGGTGAAGTTAAGCGCTTGTGTCTCGCCTTTCTTGCTGTCCGTATGTAGCTTTGAGCTTCCTACGAAAATAGCTCTGAGGTTCGCTTTGGCACCATGTCTTCCAGTTAACCAAAACAATGCACCAGGGGACACAGAACGTCGGCGTGCGAAGGCTAAGACACCGTGAATCGTCGATTACGGTCGCCGTACATTTTTTTTTTTTTTTTTGAAAGCAGCGCTGTTATGGTTGAGGTTCACTGTATATTGGAGGTATAACCTACTTTTCCTACGTCTCGAATTTGAGACAGCAGTATCAGTATATCGAAATAGTTAGTCTGGTACGCGCCCTTTTTTTTTTCCTCTTCATCGTCTTCGTCTTCTATTTCACTCCCAGACCACGTGTGCCGATGTTTCTGGTATGCGGCGCAATAACTCTGATTAGCGACAGAATGAGGACACATCTTCATAAGGCGACATTTGAACCAGTATGCACACGATCTGATGGCGAGTGTCGTAACTACTCAGCTATATTGGCACTATAGCAGGGCGTAGCTTAGCCTTGTATATTCTGACATAGCAGGTGGGGGGGGGGGGTAAAAAGAAACTGAGTGCACAGTTGATGAAAAGGAGGAAAGAAGCACGTACAAAGCAGTAAGTGGAAATATACAAAAGAGCCTGCAAAAGAAAACGTGAGAGAATGGGCAAATCGAGATAGAACGGTTGTAGAAGAGAAAACAGATAGAAACTAAGGGAGATAGATACAGATAAATATAGACATAGAGTGAAAAAAATCTACACAAGGATACAGGCATAACCATAATATAGTATAGTGAGGGGCAGGATAGAGGTAAGGTGAAAGCTTAGCGCAAACAGCACCAGGTAGGGGACCATCGGCTCATCTATAATTGTGCCTTGCGTGTCTCAGTCGAAGCTGCGTCAATTTTTCTGTCTAGTGCTTCCTGCGCAGTGATGCAAGCCAAAGTGCTATCAGCGGACTTCGTGGACGGCTACCTGCGCTACGACGTGGCCGTGTCCCAGTCCTACCGCAACCTGTTGGACCTGCAGCCGCGCGAATACCTGTGGGCGCGAAACAGCCGCTGCGCGTGCCCCAGGCTGCGCGTGGGACGAGAGTACGTGATCATGGCGCACGAACAGCGCAACTACGCCGCCAAGGAGTCCAAGTTGGTGGTCGACTCCCGGTCGTTCGTGCGACGCTACACCGAACGACGCCATCGTCAGCTCACCAGACTGCGCAAGCTCCAGGGTCGAAAGTGCAACCTGACTACGTGAAACCGCAGTTTCATCCAGCCGAACGCAGCTGGTGTGTGTGTGATGCCGAGTGGAAGCCGGTAACTACTAGTGACACAGCTGCGAGTGCAGTGACTTCCAGTGCAGAATAAGTTGCCCACAATAGCTTCCTTGCGCATACCGGAAGCACAGACACGGTGAGCCTGTGGGCGTGTGACTCAGAATCGAGAAAGTGAATGCTTGTGGGCCGTTGGTGAAGGTGACACAGATGCCCCGAAGTATTCCCTGTAGTAATTGGGCGTGCCCTTCAAGCGTACTGGTTGGGTGGCTTAAAAACGACGGACCAGCATTGGTGCACAAGAATGTCTCGCGAGGAACCATTTCTGTGCATTAAGTCAGCATCGACATTCAAACATCGACTCGAGACGAGCGAAATCGCAGCATGCGTTCTCTCACAGGCCTAATCTCACTCTTTCGCTCCCTCGAATGTTCACTTAGAGCTGAATTGTTTTGTTGCATAACGTTCTGACAGACAATCGCAAACGAATTCTCTAGCAGATGAAGAATGAGAACTTTGTTCTTTTCACTATCCCGGTAAGTTTAGTCTTGAGCAGTTTATTCCCCTGATTAAGTTAAATCATTTGTAGTGAACATTTTCACAGGCAGCATTCTATCAAATACTTGTTGCCGAGTCGTCTGCCTTCCCCGGGAATGTTGTTCAGTATTCAGAGAAGTCCTGCGGCAGGGTTTCTTTATATTCATATCAATGTTACTACACCAAAGACATATTTTTATCCCGATGATGTTCTCTAAAAAGTACCAAATGTTAACTCTTTTTGCACGCAATGCAAACATTTACAATGACGAAGATGCAATTGCTACGATTCCATTTTTTTTTCGTGAATAACTGTGTTGTACATTGCAATGTTATTGATGTTCTCAGAAGTTATTTTTGTCATCTTTATTGCCTACATATGTGCGTTAACGACCCTTGCAGTCTTTTCACATTTCACAGGTTTGCAAAAAAGAACACCAGTTCTACTTTACACACTTGTCCGGTTATTTATTGATCTCCTTGCTTAAGATTATACAAGTCACCCACCTAGTGGAAATGTTTTGATACCTTTCTATTCTTCTATGTGTCTTTATTATTGAAAGTTGTATGTGTCAAGGTGTTCGTTGTTCGCCACTCCTTGTACAGAAATGTACGCCTGTCTGAGCGAAAACTATGCCTTCGTTTTTCAAAAAGAAAATAGTCCGTTGTTTGTCTGAATGGTTCAGTCACTTTAGTGCTCAAACTACCACCCACATTTCGCCATTTAAAGGGACACTAAAGGCAAATAATTCACGTCCGAGTGAAATCTCAATGTATGACAGTCCAAAATGACAATATTAACAGCAATGCCCTACTTAGTAGGTGAGTGAAACAACTTTATTGACAATCTGACAAAAAAAAATGGCCCGTATCTGCATGTTGCACTGTCAATGTCGTCGAAATACGATAGTCTTCCGTCTGGAGAGTGAACAAAACATTTATTTGATGTCCTGCACAAGAAAATCGGTGAATGGTATTCTGGAGGCGCTGCGTTAGAGTGCCTCGAGCGTGCAGCGGAGGCGGACTAGCGCAAAGCCACGTCACACATGAGACATAAGCGCCATCTGGCCGTTTTCTTGGACAACAAAGCGCGCGCGCAGCGTGCGTGCCTGTCTCGAAGGTGGTAAGGTGTAGAACGCAAGGCGACGGGTAGGTTCCTCCACCGTGTTGTCTTAGCAAAGCGTTGGAAACGCTTGCCTTTCGTGCAAGCGTTGCATGGTCAGCGAAGTGTGATAAACGCTATCTATGGTCCTTAGAATTGCTTATCTATGTCTTGTCTAGTAAAAGACATACATACAAAATATTAACGTCTTGTTATGGTGCCTCAGATATGCACAATAATTGCTTTTTAATTGACAATCGCAAAAGTATGAATGCTGAACCTTAAGCAATATTGGTGGGCTCTGCGGATGGGGTCGGTCGTTTGGGGTATCGGCCGGTAACTCCGGTTTCTTTCAAAGTGCCGTTAAGGATGAACAGACAAATGTACAGACACAGACAGACAGACAACTTCTTTGCGTTGAAGGTCCCCAAGAAAGACCATTGTGTTTAAAAGTGAGAGGGCTGGAGAAATAAAGCGAAATACTATGGCGCTCGGCCGTCCCGGAGCTACAACTTATTCGCGTCCAACCCTTGCCCCCCCCCCCCCCCCCCTTTCGGCCGCTGCACTTCCAGGATGCCAAGCATGTGTTGCGCCACATATCTTCGGTTGCCTGGCTCTCGGCTGATTTTGCTGCTGATGATAGTTGGCATAGCTTCTTGGTTACCCGGCGAGGGTGCACAGTCCCAGAAATCATAAATGCATGGTAACACACGCGCCTCGAGTAGGACACTCGTAAAATGATCCCAATGACGTCAGAGTTACCACCTACAATTGCTAGTAATTGAATAAGCCACAATCAAAAATAACTGTCACAAACATGGGCGACCCTGCAGCACGCCCATGAGGTGGCGTGGAGGCAAGCCCTTGACATCTTTCTATAAGACGGTCTGGGCTCGACCGCCTAAACTTGCTGGTTTTCTCTTTTTAAAGGTTCAATTCTCCTTCTGTGCATCAAGAGACGCAATAAAATGTTCCTTGTTCGGTTATGCTTGATTTATAAAAAAAAAAAATCACTGGACGGCACTATGACGAATGGTGAGAGCGATTCAAAACTTTCATTTTCACTTGATTAAATCGGACAGGTCTCTCCATCTATCGATACCCAGTTAAACCAAATACGCCTGCCATATCTCAGGCCATGGCAGAAAGTTGTTCAATATCTGCTGTTACTGCTGTGGCTCCCACTACTTTCGGCTCTGCTGCTAATGCCGGGCAACGTTGTTCACGGCAACAGCGACATAAAAGTCTCCACTTTGAGACGGGTAATTAATGCGCTAACACGATGCGGACCACTATACGTCGCTTTATTTCAAAATAAGCACCTTCTTAGCACAAAACCAGCATTAGGAAGTTTCTGGACTGTAATTTCAGCAGTAAACATCGACTTATTGTTTGCCTTCAGTGTCCCTTCAAGGAATTGCTTTGGGCATTACAACAGGCGCTAACACAAGGCAACGACGACATTCTGCTGAGAGCAAGGCATGAGGAAGGAAATGTTTTTTTTTTTCTTTTTCAGTTGCAGGTCTACATATGGCCGAAGGTAAAAACTAAGTTCCAGATGATGCGGCCTACACTTTCGCTGTGTTCGATCGAATAACTATTTGAAGACGTGATCGTGCGCCCTTTCGCACTTGAATTTTCATATTATCAAAAATATGCACACGATTGATTGATTTGTGGAATTCAACGTGCCAAAACCACCTTATCATTCTGAGAGACGCTGTAGTTGAGGGCTACTGCAGCATTTTCGCCTCCATTGAAAATGCAGCCGTCGCAGCCGGGATTTGCTCCCGCGACCTGCGGGTCAGAAACCGTGCACCTTAGCCACTATAGATCACCGCGGCGGGGCAGTATGCAGACGAAAAGAACAAAAGACACGAATGAGGGTTTAAATGGACGCATAAATACAAACTTGCCGATTTTATCACCTGCTTTGATTTTTCACGCGTGCAACGTAATGCACAACCAGGCAGATACCAACGCACAGTCTCGCACATCGTTCTTTTCTCTTAAAGTTACTTTTCTAGGGCAAGCCCATCATTAATATGAACTTTTTTGTTGTTCTAACTCATTCTATTCCACTAGCATTTATTCAATGAGGTATATCATTTTGCTATTCGTGGGTATTCGTGGTAACAGCACAGTACAAACACTGCCCGGCCTGTGGATCCATGGCGTTGCTCGGTTTGCAAGAGGGGTGAGTCGTCCGGGGGCTGTACTGTATGTTCATGGCATGTGCTAGTGAGGGCCGAGAAAATAACCTGCCATTAATTGGCTAAAGTGTAACCATAAGTGTCCTTCCGCAGTATAGCAAACACCCTTTTATTTCCACGCTTAGGATGTCCCTCGTTTTACGGCTGCACAACGGGTGCTGAGAATAATGCAGTTTTGCAATGCCTATTCTGCGCACTTACTGGTTTTGCATCGAAGAACTCGAACAACGTATTCAAATTAGGCGGGAGGGCCATTTGTGTGAACCAGTTCTGGTGCAAGTAGCCCTAAGCTCAATCCTAATTACTAAAAGCCATGCAGAGATTGAAAAAAAAACAGCGGTGACCTGCGCTGTTGTAACAAAAGTCACCTCACATTTTTTGGTAAGATGCATCGCGACTGCTTATACTGGCCATTCAAAAGTGACCCAGTTTATAACCTCGTACTCTTCATAACCACTGGCCAACCAATCGAACAGAGTGTTCCGCTAGCAATTAGACGACATCTTAAGCAACAGTAAATTTGTCCGCTAAAAGAAAAAGATAGGCGTGTCATTTCTATGCACTTTTTCGAAGCTTTCAAGAATCTGGCACAGTATTGTCCCGTGGTACATGCGTAGAAGGACGCGAACTCGAGTATGTAATGATTGGACGTTTCATACGACAGAGTTCCGCCCACTAAAAGTCAGCGATGCGCTCAGCTCATTAATAGCGTAAAGGACCGTTATCGGTCGTCAGTAGTCTGATCGTCCGTGAATCTCTTCCGTTCTTATGCATGCCTGACAGAATCTTCCAGCGTCACCAAAGGTATATTTAAACTGGTAGCGCTTCCAATGGAGCCCATGTATCCAGTTGTTGATGGCTCGTTGCCACCATCGCCATCCAAACATATGAAAGGGATGACTTACAGCTAACAAAAGTAAAGCGTAGTGTCACGACCGGAAGCGGTAGCTGCGTCATGCATTTTCCCTACACTTGCGCCAAACTGAAAATTTCTCATAATTGCTGACCATTTACGTGCTATTATAATTATGCAGTTTTACTTTGTCTTACCCTTCACTGATTTCGTGCGCGAGAAAAAAGAAAGACTAACACGAAAGTATTGCCGAAGCAAAGTTGTTTTATTAGCCCGATGGTGTCCCTGCAATATACACTGACAACCTCGCGTATGAAATGGGGACGCAACCATTCACGAGCACTATAGCAAAATAGTTCAAAAACTCACGTTGCCCGATCGTGGAAAACTGCTACAGCGGGACAGCAGCCTCGAGAATATCGCTTTGGCAAAAGCATCTCGTTGATAAGCGTGTCGCATTCACTGTCATCAAAGGCAAGGGCACGCCGGGCATCCGCCAACGAAGGCAGTCGGCAGGTTACAAAAGCGGCCATCTACACATTCTGTGAGCTAGTTAAGCACTGAAATGCCACGCCAGTAAGCAGCACATAAGCAAATAAACTATATGGAAGCTACGCACGAAAACAATACGCAAAAGTGATCAATGCTTCGTTGAAATGGCAATGCGCCAAACTAAATACAAGCTCTGATAGCAGATCACCTGCATATACCCTGCCCCCCTTTGCCCTTCCCCTTTATAGCACTGGACCAAAAGTTGAAGCAATCACTCATACATCAAGGTGTCAGATAAAACGTAAGGAATAATATTATTATTTAACTTAGACATATACGAAATTATGACTATATAAAAACATTCATATCGAATTTTCATTTTTGGTAACTTTCCACTCCTCCCGTAGTCCCGCTTCAACATCAGCGGGCGTCGGTGCCTGTGGCAATAAATTTTCAATCCTTTTCGTTTCGAATTTCACAACCCATATAATTTGACCATGCATTACCGCTGGTGCTAGCTTTAGCGGCCGAATTATCTCGACTGTCCGCGTACATGTGCATTAAAAGCACAGTTCAGAATCATAGGCGAGTTTATCAAACGCTGCAGCGCTGCGCCACGCGCCGATTGGTGCGAACAGTTGTTGTGCGTCATTGGGTAATGTGCCGCTGTTACCACTGTTGGTTATCGCGTCTCCCAGCTCACAGCTGCTTCTGCGCAGAGCTGATAAATGGAGCGGATAAGGCGATGATGAGTTAAGCACACATTTATGTGCAGCATAAACAAAGGCGTTACATATTCGGCACTGGGTCCGACAGCTTAAGTGACAGCATAGGGATCTCGCACTGACCCCTAGTTCCCACTGAAGGATCCGCTTTCTAGAACGAGCGAAATTCTCTTGCCGCCGAAACGCAGCGTTGTTCGCACTGGACGTGCCCCGTGCCGCCGAATATGCCATCTACCATGGGGCGAACGCAGGTAGATGCGATGTTACCCACTTGTTGTCACGGCTCGCAAACG